TCCTCCTCCTCCTCCTCCTCCTCCTCCTCCTCCTCCTCCTATTTCCAGAAGATGCTTCAGTTTGATATGGTGTCCTAATTCATATGTAGGAAATTGGCAGGAGACCTACTTTGTGGGTCAAGCCAAGGCCCCATCAGGACACACCAGTAGAAAAAGCATCATAGTTCTTTCACAATTTGACGGTGATGTTCAAGATGTTGCTGCCGATAACAACACTATCCATATGAATTTGAATGGGGATTTGTAGCAACTCAAAAACTTCCTGAACTTTTTTGACCGAGAAATGAGCAGATGCACCTTGAACAACCAATGTGCCTTTCTTACATTCTGGAGATCTTCGGCTCCTTAAAAATGCTTCTTTTGGCCACCGGAATAGTTTATCTGCTTTACGCGTGCCACTATTTCTGCTCAGAGTCTCTTTCCTGACTCTTTCCCAATGCCTTTTTTCATTTAACCAACAGGACAAGTCCAAACAGAACTGGACACGGCCACTTCTCAGAGTCCAGCACCAGGTAGAGTCAAAACAAAGTGAAAATGCCAACCATTTTTAAAAGAATTGTTGGAAAACAAATGAAGAGAGATTTGGTGGAGGTGGGGTGGTGAAATCAGGCAGGCAACGTTTCAGTCTTGCTTTGGGGGGGCGCACGTGTTGATTTTCCACTGGGTTGACACAGGTGCCATTGAAAGCAAGACTGACCTGACCAGATGGCTATTCACACAGCCACAAATGCCTATTCAGCGTTGGGCATCTGTGGTGTAATCCTCCCTTCAGGGTCGGGCTACCCCACTGCCCCAAGTCACTGCGTATTTGACTTGACTCTAACTTCAGTTGTGGTTTATGGTGGACAATCGCATCTCGCTCCCCTAAATTGCAGATAATGTCCCTGCAAGGAACGAATTTCTTTTGCCCTGTTTCTCCTTTGGGGGTTTAATGGTGGGAAGGGGAGCAGGAGGGCTCTGGAAAACAAGCTGTTCCCATTTCCAGCTTTAAAAACCCTCCCCATGCCCCCAAAAGTGTCCCAAAGTTTGCTGCTGGCATTCATCAGCCAATGGCCAAATGCTGGTTACATGCTTTGGGGCCATTTATGGGGAGTTGCAAGAACAGGTTCTTGTGCGGTCCAAACCAAACAACCTAATGCCAGATCAGGTCACCACCAGATGGGGACAGTTTCCATCCCAAAGAGATTTGCTTAAGGGGAAAAGGAATTTGCCCACTGCTTTTGCTGTAAATAGAATATGCATTTGGTACACGGTGTTGCTGAGATTCTTGTGGAAGACAGCTTGATCTCTTTTCTACAACAGATGTATTTCTCAGAGCGTTGGTATTTTTTGAAATCTATTTTTGATGGGGGACAGGGTCTGCATGGAGATCCAAGGGAGGCCTAACAGGAAGTGGACGTTTCACACAGTGCAGATAGAAAGGTTTGCCTCTCAGAGCCTTCCTGCTCCCATAACCACCTTAATTCTGTAAAAGGAAAAAAAATGCAAGCCCAAATCAGCTATTTTACTGCTGACTTTCAGTGGTGAGATTTCAGGGTGAAGGGGGGCTACAAAGTAGCCCTAGGAACCACATGGGTGAAGGTAGATCCATGGTTGGGTTCTTTGCATGAAATCAGCCAATTTTGGTTTATTCAGTAAGCCATGATGAACAGACTATGTTTTGGCTCAACATGTTAACACGGCTTTCTCTGCATAAATGCATTTGATAGGATCTGGATTTTTTTTTTTAACATGCTATGATTTCTTGCATTTTATTGGAATTGGCATTTTTATCTCACTCCCTTGGACACAGTGTGGGATTTTCTGATAGGGTTCAAACGCTGGGGGGTGTTCTCAGCCCCCTCTTAGTCAAAGGATCTCAAATTCCTCACTTACCTGTGGGCAGAGAAAGAGGTTCAAATTAATTTCACAGAATTTCTTCAGAGAGATGTCGTAAGGCAGGGAGTACCCAAATCCAGTAACAATGGAGACTGGCTTTGCCCAAAACCCTTAACCAGACCTACTGGCACAATATACTAAACTTGGTTAGCACTAGCTTAGTTTAGTTTCTTTATAGCTTAGCGTGTTAAACAAACCCAGCCCATTTATAGGCGTACAACGCGGTGGACTGGCAAAATGGAGTTAATTCACTCACCAAGTAAATGCACTGTGTAAACTCATTTAAAAATATTGCCTAGAACAGTGTTTCTCAACCTTAGCAACTTTAAGAAGCGTGGAGATGATACCACCAAAGCTACTTTGCAGGAGAAGGCCTTGTACCAAAATAGTTATACGTACGAGGAATTAAAGGATCTAAGTTCATTATACTGCAATTATTAAAGAGAAATGACACATCCATCTCTAACACCAATAACTTCCTTCTTGTTTTGTCTGTTCTTAGTCTGCAAGACGAAATGGATCAATCAAGACAACCCTTCGGGCACAGGGGACTTTGAGTTGGTTTACTACATAAGAAAAGCACATCCAGAAGCTCTCTGTATTAAGCCCCTCGCAATTGAGGTCCAGACAGTGAACGGAATCCCCGCGTCCCAGACAGGACAGCTATTTGCCCGGTGAGATGCCCCAATCTCCTCCTTTTCATCCTGGATCTGAGGATGCATGAACTTTCTCGGCCGCCGGTGCCAAAGCACCAGTTCCTAACGAAATTGGCAATTTAGGACAAAGGAGTTGGCCCCCGGCCCCTTTCCATCATTTACTCAGTTTTAATGCTTGTGGGAAAGACCCTGGGAGACGGGGCAAAGAGATGCTGCCTGGGGAACAGTCAGATAAGGGAGGGCATAGCCCACGGCTGCATAATGAGTGGAGAAAGAAACTCAGAAAGGATCCTCCCTAACTTATCAGGCAGTAAAAGAGATGGCGGGAAAGTTGTCCTTTCAGACTTGCAAGATTCTGTTCATGTAGCCTTACAATAAAGTAGAATTAGCTCATCTGGTCGTGTTTCCTGTCTGGTCTACCGCGGAAGGCTGACATCGCCTCTCAAAGGAAAGGGAGACCGAGCCACACAGTACCAGAGGCTGGAAGTGGTTTTTAGAAGACGCTCTTGGCAGGGCCAGTTGCGGAGCGATGCAGCGGTTCATTTTGTTAACCGATCTGTATCTCTGCTCAAAGAAGGCTTTGAGGAGCAACAAAACCTGCCACACTTATTTGCATGGAACACGTGGAAGGAGTGTGAAAATTGTAGGCAATTTTAAACTGACTTCTGCAAGGAAAATGATTTTATTTGGTTTAAGTGATTACGTGCAGGACCTGAACAATGTATACAATGCAACCAAGTCCAAGATTTCTACTGTTCTTACATGCAGCATTCAAGGGCTGGCAGAGACTTGCTACCATCCCAGTGGGACCTTGGTGAAGTCCCAAAGCCTTCTGCAAATAAATGCAAAGCCCCAGGCTAGTGCTTTGCTTTGCAGGAAGTCAGCTTCTTACTCGTTTTAAAAATTAAGCAAGTCAGTTGAGCAAGGAACCTAAACAGCATCAGGTAAAGTGGCTGCACGCCCACCGATTCCCCAGCCTTGGTAGGGGAATGTGGCCTGCAAAATCCAGCCAGCCACTAGAGGGCAGCAGCGTTCGTTGTCAGTATCTCTCTGCAGCCCTCTAGTGGTTCTCTGACTCTTTGCAGCCCAGATAGAGCAGAATGAATCCTGCAAGAGGGGATTCAAAGGACCCATCTGCTCTACATATATTCCGATGATTCTTCTCCTGCCTGCAGGATTGACGCGATCAATGGGTTTGCTTGCATCAATGCGGACCAGGGGAAAAGGGGTTTCTGCCGTGATTACAAGGTGCGGTTTGTCTGCCCTGACTCCTTCTGCTCAGGTAAGCTTGTGCTGTAATCTGTAAATGCTGTGAAATATTTCCCTCTCACCTTGAATGAGCACATTCCCAACCTCCAGCTGCACTGGGGTCCTTGAGATGAACTCCCTCTATTCCTACAGCAGAAGCCACATTCTGCATTCCTGGTTAATTTGGTGGATGTTGGTTTCCAAACACTGGATGGAGCACTTTCCACCATGTTTGCTCGTGCAGTTCTAAATGTGTCCTAATTTTCCTTCAGTGCCATCAGCTCTCAACCTGAATCCTTCAGATATGGACTTTAATTTTCAGTGGTGGCCAAACATCTGGAAAGTGCCCACATTGGGAAAGGAGGGTGGAGTTGTCATTGATTACAGGTAGTCCTCACTTAACAACCATTCGTTTAGTGACTGTTCAAAGTTACAAAGGGTGCTGAACAAAGGGACTTACAGCTGATCCTTGCACTTACAACTATTGCAGCACCCTCACGGTCATGTGATCGCGATCCTGGCGTTGGGCAACCAGTTCACACTTACCTTCATTATTCTATGTCCTGCACTCTGGAATAAAAGAAAACTGATCGAACACAATTTAGGTTAACGTGGAGACTGTCACACCATAAAACACTGCATTCTTTACACGCCTCAGTCAAGAAAAGGGGTAAATTTCAACAGCCCCTTACAAAGTTTGCTCATAATCTTCACCCTTCCCTCCTTCGTTGCAGAATGTCTTTTAGAACGGCTGAGCAGTTTTATGGCACTTCAATTGTTCATTTGGGATTTGGTGGCTATTTAGGGTTTTTTCGGAATTAAATGTATAATCTGCTCTTACAAAAACATAACAGCAGCTGATAAAACAATAAAACCATATTATGAAAGCCCTAGAATATGACAAATACAAGTCATGAAGGGAAACCAGTCAAGATGTTGAAATAGTGTTTTAAAGTTGGGCAGAGAAATCTTATCCACTGAGCAACTCAGAAGGTGGACATCCCATCTCCAAATTTGTTGCTGTGAGCCAGCAAGCTTATCAGACGACTCGGTCACTTTTTTCATTGACCATAAGCATCAGGTTTCAGCTTTTCCACCAAAAAGACCTCTGCATGGTGTCTTAAAATGCAAAAGGCAGAACACAAAAGGAATGAGGCAGATGGAGGAGCGAGGCTGAAACACAATTTCTGAAAGTTTAAACGCTCAGAATGAGTATCGGGGAAGAGTCTGATGGAGCTGATTGTAAAGGCTGCTGAGATGGACGGAGGAAAATTGGAATGATTTAAATGCTGAATGTCTGTTTTTCTGTCCTTTAGGGGATGACCAGAAAGATGAAAATGTGAAGACTGGTTGACTGTGAAGATAGCAATTGACCTCTGCCACCCACTAGCCGAAGATCTGGGCTTCTGGTTCTTCTTGGAAGAAATGAATGAGGCTTTTGCTCTGTTATTGCTGGCTGATAATACAATAAACATGATAATATAATAAAGCATAGAATGAACATTAGTCTCAAAGATGGTCTTTGGGGCCCAGTTCTCTCATTCAATCCTGCGCCCCACATGCTCTGCTCTCCGGGTGGCCCCAAAGGTTTTCTGCATTGAATGTGAACACGTGCAGTGAAAGAAAAGGGGGTTGGAAATTGCCCTGCAAAGCCCCAGTTGGCATCCTTGGTTTTCGCTCCATTCACCATCAGTTGGGCCACCCTCTAGAGAAGTGTTTCCCAAACTTGGTAATTTTAAGATGGGTGGACTTCAACTCCCAGAATTCCCAGCCAGCATGCATTAAGATGGGTGGACTTCAACTCCCAGAA